TCGGGTTTTCAGCCCACCGGAATACCCTTTTTTTCCCAAGTCGCCTTTTCAGGTTTTCGACTTGCCGGGTGTACAGTTTTCTATTTTCATCCCTTACTTTTGCCCAAACAATTTTGGTTCGCCGGGAAGCCCTTATTTTTTCCTAGGCCAGTCAACCTAGCGGGTCCTTGATTATGCGTAGTATTTTTTCACTATGTCTGCATTGACGGGGTGAGGAAGGTCGTCACCATCCATGGTGGTTAGAATCATAGCTCCTCCCGAGAAAATGTTCTTAACCATAAATGGCCCTTCGTATGTAGGGGTCCATTTGCCCCTGGGATCACCTTGCGGTAGTATGATGCGTTTGATCACTAGATCCCCAACCTGATATTCTTGACGTATAACTTTCTTGTTAAAAGCCTTGATCATCCGCTTTTGATACGTCTGACCATGACAGATAGCAGTAAGTCTCTTTTCATCGATTAGATTCAGCTGGTCAAGTCGGGTTTGGATCCAGTCGTCTTTGTTCAAACCCACATCCTTTATAATCCTGAGAGAGGGTATCTGGACTTCGATGGGTAGGACTGCCTCCATGCCATACACCAAAGAGTAAGGTGTTTCCCCTGTCGATGTTCGTGCTGAGGTACGGTATCCATGAAGAGTGAATGGTAGCATCTCGTGCCAGTCTTTGTATGTTACCGTCATCTTCTGCACAATCTTTTTGATGTTCTTGTTGGCCGCTTCAACAATTCCATTCATCTTCGGCCGGTAGGGAGAAGAGTTATGATGCTGAATCTTGAACTGTTTACAGAGCTCGGTGATCATTGTGTTATTGAGATTTGTACCATTGTCAGTAATAATCCTCTCTGGTACACCATATCGACAGATCAGATTGTGTCGGATGAACCGCGCCATGACGCTCTTGGTTACTGTAGCAAATGAAGCTGCCTCAACCCACTTCGTGAAATAATCAATAGCCACCATAATGAAATGATGCCCGTTAGACGCAGTAGGTCTGATCTCGCCGATCATGTTGATGCCCTACATTGCAAAGGGCCAAGGAGCTATCAAGATATTCAGACGGACTGGAGGCACATGCACTTTATCAGCATAGACTTGGCACTTATGGCAAGTTCGAGAGTGCTGATAACAATTGGCTTCCATAGTGGATCAATAATATCCTTCCCGTAGGATTTTCTTCGCCATGGTATGTCCACTGGAATGAGTTCCGAAGGTACCTTCATGTAAATCTGCCACGATCCTTTCTGCCTCTCTTTTGTCCACACACCGCAGTAAGGTTGAATCATGGTTGCGCTTATAAAGAATTCCATTACTGACGAAGAACTTCGCAGCGAACCTTCTCAGAAACTTCTTATCATTAATAGATGCCCCCTCGGGGTATTCTTGAGCCTCAAGATACCTCTTTACCTCGTGAAACCAGGGTTTATCTGCTACCTCTTCAGTCTCAATGTCACAGCAATGTGCAGGTTCATCCAACTTCTCAATGGTAATTTGGGGAGCTTCATTGTCCCACCTGACTTTGAACATAGAAGACAAGGTAGCTAGCGCGTCCGCCAACTGATTCTCCTCTCTTGAGAAATATTCAAAGGTTACCTCCTCAAAGTGTGGGCGCAATGTCAATACATACTCTTTATAAGGAATAAGATTTGGGTGCTTCATATCCCACTCACCTTTGATCTGACTTATCACCAGAGCGGAATCTCCGAATACACTTAAGAACTTAATCCTCAGATCAATAGCAGCTCAAAGACCCATGATACATGCTTCATACTCCGCCATATTGTTGGTACAGTTAAAACATAAACGGGTGGTGAATGGAGTATGACAGCCCTCGGGAGATATGATTACAGTGCCAATGTCGTTACCCAATGCGTTTGAGGCTCCATCAAAATACATAGACCATCGAGATCCCTCCTCAGGTCCTTCATCCGGTCCAGGTTCTTCGCAGTCGGTTACCAACATAATATTCTCATCCAGGAACTCGAAATTCATGGACTGGTAGTCATCCATGGCCTGATGCACCAAATGATCCGCCAATACACTCCCCTTGATTGCTTTTTGGGTTGTATATTGGATGTCGTACTCGGTTAGGATCATTTGCCATCTTGCTATCCTTCTGGAGAGAGCGGGCTTCTCGAAAATATACTTGATTGGATCCATCTTTGATATCAACAAAGTAGTGTGAGTCAGCATATACTGTCTCACTCGGCGAGCAACCCATGCCAAAGCGCAACAAGTTTTCTCGAGCAATGAGTATTGGGTCTCACAGTCAGTAAATTTTTTGCTAAGATAATAAATGGCATAAAAGTAAATGCTCAAATGAGCAAAGATAAAAATAACATGAAATGTAAAATGTTAAAGTAAATGGTGCATAGAGTAAAAATATGAAGTAAATGCACAAAATAAATTCAATTGTTAGAAATTAGAGGTTAGTTGAATGACCATCTTGAAACTTGCATTTGAAACTCATTAGAATATTGTACGCATTCTTATAGAAACGAGAATCATTACAAAGACACTTTTCAAGATCACTTTCAAAAACACATTCCACAAACACATTTTTGAACTATTTTCAAAACCAACACTTTGTACGCGTTCTTATAGAAACGAGAACCATTACAAAGACGTTTTCAAAATACTTTCAAAACCCACACCACAAGCACATTTTCAAACAAAAGCAAGTGATCTAGCGAGTAACTAAGAGTCTGTAGATAACTACGGATGAAAATGATGCTAATACATTCCCTTTTCATAACCTACCCCCCGAACTCAAGAAATAATCTCGAAAGGTTTTTTCTGTTCTTTTCAACCTTTCCTTATTGGATAAAAGAAAAGTCGATGGCGACTCTTGCTATCTGCAAAAATTGCAATCAAATGCAAAACATCCAAGTCAGTTCTCCCACCGTGTTACAGGCACAACAACCAAATGCGAATGAATAAAAAGGGTTGTCCCAAAAGCAAGCGCATCACAACTGAAATAGACTCACTGGACAAGCTAGAAAGAAAACATGGTTTATGTCGTCAGATCAGACACAATCGCAAAAATTGTCCGACTCGGGCTATTAGCTCAACCACATAAAAATTGTATGCAAAACATATTTACTTTTTTAAGTTATAAACATTACGATTTTTCATTAAGAGCATTTGTTACAACAAATCTCGCGCAAACAACAAATAAAAACACGATAAAACGTCTAAGAAATTACAATCGTTAAAACAATTTCATTTGAACCATGCATCATCAACATTACGTCTCTGTCTGTTTTGACTTCCTCTAACCAAAAATTAGGTCTTCCGGTTGCAGTGAGGTGGATGTTATTCTTCGCTGGATTCTTCTAATTTGTTCCCCATCCTCGATGTTTCCCTCAAGCCATCACATCAACTCTCTCTTCAGACGCTCAATAGAGTGAATGTGCCAAAATTTCATTTTCATCGAAGGTTTGGTGGCCGAGAATATAACGTAATCATCTCTGGTAAAAATCATGGGAGATGTCATGACGCAAATAACAAAGAAAAAATAAGAAGACAGTGCGAAAAAGTCTGAAGAATAACGGAGAAACGAAGAACTTATTTATATAAAAAATGCATTTTTCCCTAGGAGCCAAGTGAGATGGCGCCTCCTCTCACTTTTAGAGTGCATGCGCCATCTCACTTGGCTAAAAGAGAGAGCATGCACCAAGTGAGATGACGCCTAAGGCAAATGGGCTAGTGCAGACGCCAAATATGTTGGCTCATACTTTGTGGGATTTTCTGAAATATGGTTATTTACGTAATTTTTTCAGAAACATAGTTATTTGCGATTTTTTTCCAAAACCTAGTTATTGCAAAAAAAAATTCACGAGTTGTTATATTTTTTTATAACTAAAGAAAATAAAAGCAAAAATAATGTATTAATCCAAATACGAGAAAAATATGTTGTTTTAAACTATTTATGTTGTTAATATTTTAATTTTGAAATTATTTTCTAATTTAATATATAATTTTTTTAAAAATAATATATAAAAAATTGAAATATATATTATTGATGAAATAGTTAATTTAAATTAAATAATTTATGCGAACTTATGAATTATTATATTTTTTATACAATTAAAAAAAATAAAAATAAAAATATTTAAAATAATATATGAATTTAAATATAAAAAATATTTATTATTTTTTAATTATTTATATTGTTAATATTTTTATTTTGAGATTATTTTTAGAGACAGTTTACATATAAATATTTAAAGTTTATATAAATATTTAAAATGTATTATTAAGATAAAATAATTTTATTTTTATTTTTAAAATATATTTTTCTTTTAAAAATGATAAATTATTTTAGTAAAATCATTTTATTTTTTTATTTATTTTTTGAAAACAAAAGTGAATAACCTACCTTAATACTCGCATTTTCGACTAGTTTTTATCAAACAAAGTCTAAATTCTTTTTACAATTGTATGTGTACGGACGGACACATTAAAGAATAATAGTAGAATTAGATAGTAGCTGAACAACAAATCTCCGATGTGGAAGAACCGAAAGCGTAAGCGCGTTCATTATAAAAAACAATAAACAGAGATAACACGAGAGTCCACGTGCAAGGGAAAGAATCGAAATTCCCAACAACAAAACTATGGCAAAAGACAATGAAGGCGATGCTTAGTGTCGAAAGCAAGAAAACCATCTACTACTTGATGAGCCCAGCCACTTCCATTATTCAGACTGTGCTTCTTTTTTAGTATTCTTCTTTTCTGTTTCTTTCTATCCCCCACCACTCACTCACTCTCTCACTCATCAATAATCTCTTCCAGAATGTAACGAATTTCCATTCCAACGCATAACGCACTCTTGTCCTACTGCTTCAATTCAACTCATTTGATTTTTTTTATTTTTTTTTCTTTGCATTTAATATTTAATATTATAAATAAAAAATAATTAATGATATCATGATGAATCGAAGATGAAGATATTTGGGATCTCCTCCCATTCTACTCTGTTCAAAGGGGGAGAAAAGATGGCATTTCAGCGGCGGCGCCACCACTTCTATCAACGCTTCCGTCTCATGATTCCGGTGATTTCCGCCGTCGCTGCCGTTCTACTCTTTCTCTTTGCTATGCTTTCCTTCTTAGCTCCTTCTCCCATCGAATCCGATCAAATGCACCGGAGACGCCATTACACCGCGGTAATTTCACTCACTCTCTTAACATTCACTTTATCCATTGATTGTAAATCCATCGCTATTTTTGTGTTTTTCGTTTTCTTATGTGTGTAATTGATGTAAAGGTTAACGGTAAAGCGAATGATGCGATTGGAAAACCTGTTTTCCGCGTTCCGGTTAGGGCTTTTCTGGCTTTTGTTTGCGTTTGATGTAGATTCTGCGATTCGGTTATTGGATCTTGATTTCGTGTTTTTTTGCTTTTTGTTTTGGTTTAATAATTGTAACGATCAGAAAAATGGAGGAAAGATGAGTCACGATGTGTGGAGTTCAAGAAATTCGGAGCACTTCTATGGCTGCAGCAATGCCAGCAGCAAGTTTCCAAGTGCGTATCTGTTTGGTAGTTCAGTTATCAAGTGATGTGATGTAAAACTTTTTGTTTGAAACTTGATTTGGTTATGTGTATTTGTATGAAAATGACGGATAATTATGTTTTTTCAATGGCAGAAGCTCAAGTCACTACAAGGCCTAATCGGTATTTGTTGATTGCAACTAGTGGAGGCTTGAATCAACAAAGAACTGGGGTATTTCTCTTGAGTACTGTCATTATCATTAAAACTGCTATAGTCTAGTATGGATTCCATATCTGGATTTATTTCTTTTATTAAGTATGGTTCTGAATAAATTTATTAAATGTGAAATGAACTCAAAAAGGATATGCTTCCTCAATCAGATTTGCCTTAGATTAAGGTTGTCAAATGCAATTAACTTGTCCATGCTGTAGTAAGTAATGAGGCATTTGATGAGAAAATGGACTAAACTTGTTAGAATCGGAGTCGTATATTAATTAAATAATCATGGAGCATTAGTTATTGGCACATTTTTCTCCAGTCCGTTGCTTATGGATGTCTTAAATCTCATTGAGAATCCTATTTGTCTATTGCTTGCATATGTGAAAGAGATGTATCCCTTATGTTTTTAGATCCTACCTACTTGGCTTTAAGAAAAAATCTCAGATAATTGTTTGCCGCAAAATCTGGAGTATTGAAACCAGTGAATCTTTTCTGCTTTATACATTGAGGATCTTATACTGCTGTATATAATGACTGCTGTTGGTGCTTATTATTTGCAAACTATATGGGTACTCAACTATCATTGTCAATCATTTTGTTTCTGCAAATGGCAGATTACAGATGCTGTTGTTGTTGCGCGAATTTTGAATGCTACTCTGGTTGTTCCAAAATTGGATCAACGATCTTACTGGAAAGATTCTAGGTCAGTTGCTGAAAGGATATATTGTAATTTGGCTTGGTTGTATTGAAGTGTATCATTCTCAGTGTTTTATGTAAGTTTTTGATACAATGTCATACTTTACCTTTTGCAGTAACTTTTCAGAGATCTTTGATGTTAATTGGTTTACCTCATACTTATCAAATGATGTCAAAATTATCAAGCAACTCCCAAGTATTAATAAGGGTAGGAAAGCATTATCTGCATACAACATGCGTGTTCCAAGGAAATGTAACGAGAGATGTTATATAAATCGTATACTGCCTGTACTCGTGAAAAAGCGTGTAAGTTTTTTATTTCATAGAAGTGCTACTGGTGCTTAATGTGTTGTACAACTAATTAGATTCTCCCTGTTAAGTAGGAGGTGCCTTCATCTATCAGTTTGATTGTTATTTATTGCTTGGAAGATACTCCCTCCATTTCAAAATGACTGTAATTTAAGGTTCTTATACACAAATTAAGAAATGCAATGATGTTGTCATAAGACATTATACTTTTACAAAATTAACCCTATTAATATATTGGAAGTAGTGTAGAGATTAAAAAGTAAATGACACAATTGGAAAAATAGTAATTGTTACTACATTGAAAAGTGAAAATACAGTCAATTTGAAACAAAATTTATTTGCTAAAACGAAAGTCATTTTGAAGCGGAGGGAGTATATAATACTAGTAGGCAATTTTAACTGCTTTTATATTAAGGACTTGAGTCCAAATCTTGACGTATAGATGTTACAGTAAGCGTGTTTTAGATGCATTTACATAATGAGTTTTTCAGGTTTTTTCAGTAGGCTACCATTGAATTTTAACCCTGATGTGTCGATGAATTTTAACCCCCGATGTGTGGTGCCTGAAGTGCCTTTTCTATCTGCCAAGTGATATTATAATTGGACTGTTTGCAAGATCCAGATCCTTATTTTTTCTCGATGATTTGCCTGAATATTTTTAAGATTGTTTTGATTCATGCTAGCCATTCTATGACTGATAAAGCCTGCCGTATGATCATCATTAAATATTCAAACCTAGTACCTAAATTTAACCCACTTTGAAGTTTTTGTTTCTACAAATTGGCCAATTTTGGTTATCAAAATAGGACACTTTGTACTGCAAGAGTTGTTGGAAAACTTTGGAAGTAATGAAAGCTCTAGTCTCTACCAACTTTCTTTTTTTTTAGCTTTAATAAACAAGTAATCAATGCTTTAAATTCTGACCAATTTATCCAGTGAGATTAATAAATCAATAACTATTTGAACATTTGATTATGAGGAAAGATATTTAATGTTGTTGCTCCATTTATATGGCAGGCTGTTCAACTCAACAAGTTTGACTACAGGCTTGCAAACAGGTTGGATACTGAGTATCAGAAGTTGAGATGCAGAGTTAATTACCAAGCTCTAAGATTTACTGATCCAATACAAGAAATGGGTGAAAAATTGGTCAAGCGGATGAGGATGAGAAAGAAGCATTACATTGCATTGCATTTGAGGTAGTCTGTTTGACTTTGCTTCTTGTTGTCTGTTTGTCTTGGCTGTCTGTTTAATTTACTTGCCCGTGTAATCTTATCAATCAGATTCATCAATTTGGTAACCACTAAAACTATAATATAAGAATCCATATACGTCGATCATTGTCCTTGATAAGAATTTGCTCGTATACAAATGCATGTCAAAACTGGGTTCAATTCTTGCTTTTATGCTGGTATCCTCGTTACATTTGCTTGTTATCCATTTTTTTTGCACAAACATGAAACACTTGAATGTTCATTTTCGGGGAGGACCACAATTTTATTTAACACCGTTTACAAGTAATATAATTCATATTTGATAAGGTGGCCATACATGACACCTCTGACACCCTTATGTTGAAACTTTTTGTCTAGTTAGGGAACCATTAGGTGGCTGAAACTAAATCACTCAATTGAAGTTATGGGAGTTTAGATAAAATTAGGGGAGAAAATATTTAGTAAAACTCTGAATATTATTGTTAATAACTTGAGACTTACTTGTGATCTTTATTCTAGATTCAGTAGTGCATTATGTTCCATATACCGTAAATTTGTACTTGCTTATTTCCAGCTTTTATTGCAGTGAATATAAATAGAATGATCATATCTAGTGAAACAGAACTATAAAGGTTCGAAATGAGTAAAAACAAATTTACAGTATATGGCACACAATCCACTACTAAAGTTTCAATACAGATTACTACTCCAAGTTAAATTAGAGTCTCTTGCCTCATCTCTATTTTAACACACAAATATACACCGGCATGTATTTTATTATAATGATACATTGACATGCATTAGTCTGCTGTCAATTTGCACACAGTAAATTATTAAGTAATGCAAAATATAGGAAAAATAAAAACTAAACAAACATACCCCCTTGAGCGTGATAGTAGGTGAGCCAAGGAATAGTATAGACCAAGTTTGTCTCCGAGGGTGAGAAGTCTTTGAATAGAGAGGACATTGGTTAAAATATCAGCCAGCTGGTCTTTTGCAGGGATGCCACCGTCACAAGAGTCTTGTTAAGAACTTTCTATCTTGCAAAAAGATATCTAGCTCCACATGCTTTGTATTAGTGTATAAATAGATATAAAATAGAACTGAGTTAATGTCATAGTGCTGAGATTGTCACATAAGATATGAGAAATAACAACAGGCACTTTCAATTCATTTAATAGGGGGTTTATCCATAGAATTTCTGCTCCTGTTGTTGCCAGACTCCTCAATTCAACCTCTGCACTAGATATAGCCACCCGAGGTTGTTTCTTAGACCACCAAGAAACCTATTTATGGCCTTATATTTCACAAGACAAGACCTAGAAGTGGACCTTATATCACCTGGGCCAGCTTCCCAACCTGCATCACAGTAGACTGTTATGGCTACCTTTTTACCCGGAACAGAAGGTTTAAGATGAAGACCATGATTATCAGTGCCTCATAAATATCTAAGAAATCTATGTACCACTTTCTAATGATTCTCTGGAGGCTGAGACAAAAATTGATACTATAGCCTCCAATTGTTGTTCTAGAAATAGCTTTAGCTTGGGACATTTGTGCTTTAGCCAACAACTATTGAATATATCTGGCTTGAGAAAGGATTAAGGAGCCATCCTTAAGCCTCTTCACTTCAATCGTCATAAAATAGTCAAGTCTTCCAAGATGTTTGAGAGCAAATTTAAAATTCAATTTAGTAATTAACTGCTGAATAAGATCAATAGAACTCGTTGTTACAATAATTCATCCACATAATCGAGCACAAAAAGAGTGCTGCTGACTGTCATCTACAGTAAAGAGTAAAAGGTCAAATTTGCTTGATTTAAAACCAAAGCTCAGCGGCTAATAATGATTTTGAAGTATTACTTTTCACCCAAAAAAAACAGAGTTTAGCAGTGCAGACCCAAGTCTTTCAAATCAGTCCTTGGCAGCCCATTTCAGTTCACTGGGAGCTTAATTTAACTCATATACAAAGATATTAGTTATCATGAGTTTGAATGTAAACCTCGTCATCTAGTTTAAATAGACATTTATTTAAATCCAATGGATGGATGTGCTATCCATTAGTGAGAGCTAAAGCGTGCATTGTTCTGGTTGTAACTTCTTTCACCATAGGATATAAAGTTTCAGTGTAGTTCTAGGTAGGTTGTTGATGAAAACGCTTAGCAACTACCCTTTGTATTTATTGATGTTGCCATCAAGATTTCTTTAATCTGAAACATCCATTTGTCTGATTGCTTGCCTATGGGAAAGAAGTGAGACCATCATCTAGATATAGCGCATAAGAGCTTCGTATTCCAGCTGCATGACTGCCAGCCACTGAATATGGTACAAGGCCCACTGAGCTGAAGAATATTATAAAAATCCTGAGATTTTACCATTGCCCGTTGTCCAAAAGAATTTGGTCGGAACCTGATATTGTCACTGGCAATGCTTGTCATAGATTTCCCACGTGATTTCCTTTATCTGGTGTAACATGATGCGTAGAGTCTTTACCACACCTGAGGAGTAGTTCCATCAGTACTAGTGAATAGAGCAGGTGAGGCAGTGGATGGTGCAGAAGGGTGTATTAGAAAGAAGAAAAATTGATAGAGTTGTAATCCCAATTCTTGTATGTTGATTGAAATAAGTTCACTGAACTGAATTGTTCAGATTACAGAATTTGAACAATTGCTTATCCTCTACTTGGGCTAGAGTTATCCTACAATCATTTAACTGCCAAGGCCAACTGGCAGAGCTTTCTAACTTACTGTTGTAAATAATGTATTTTTTACTATTTTTAGTAGTAAATTATATTCGGCCCATTGTGTTATAATAGCCTAGATAAATAGATTAGTATTTGTACATTGTTCATACTTGAAATATAAAATTAAGTTTCTAATATAGTATCATGAGCTCTTGTTCTTGAGGGTCTTGCTTCCCCATAAAAGGCCCTGACAGTTTTCATTGCGACTCCTTTTTTTCTGCCTTCATTGCAGTCTTTTTCCTAAACACTCGATGTCAGTTTCTGTTCACGCATAGCCGCCGACATTCCTTTTTTTGAACCAGAACAGTTGGTCATTCTCCGACCCGTTTGACCCTTTCCCGTTCGAATATGTTCTCACCACCACACCACCACCACCGTTGGCAATTGAAACTTTGCAAAGCATGTTCAGCTTGTTGAGTACGATAGGAAACAATTCTATTCTCATACAAAGGTTCACCAAAGTAAGGATGAGAACCATTGTTTAGAGGCCACAAAGGCATGGTTGTCAAAACCGGGATCTCAATAAAGAGCGCTAGGATACGGAAAAAGCGTAAATCCTAGGATCGTAAGATCCCAACAAATAAACAAAATTATAAAAAATAACTAGGAAGGTGTATTGGAGTGCAAGGATGGAAAAGATGAGAAGAATATAATGACTTGATTTGAATTTATAGAGGAAATAGATGAAGAGAAGAAACCCAATCATCGTATGATTAATCGTTATAGAAGAAATAGATGAAGAGGTATTAGAGTTCCAATGGTTTTGGTGGCTGGACAGCTTTCACGATAATTGTTTTGCAGTTCTCAAAAGTATATTTAATATATTCCAAGTCCCAAAACCCTAAAAATATGAGCGCTGTCGTTAGGGTTCAATAACGAGTCAGTTTCTGGGCCGGGTCAAAAAGGATCCAGAACAGGTCAAAATAAAAAAAATGAACCGTTGGGATCTTATGATCCCACAATTTTACGATCTTCCTCTACGCTTTCAGTGCTTTTTTCAATTTCACGATCTTTCTGCCAGTTAAAGCGGTGGATGGTTCCCAACTCCTAAGATCGTACGCTTTTGGGAGTTAAAGCGCGATCCTAACAACCATGCACAAAGGTATTTCCTGAGATGTAAAGGAAGGATATGGAGCATAATAATACAGTGCATGTCAGGTATTCTGGCATGGTTGAAATGACAGTGGAAAACCTGAGAATTGCTGTGAATGTGTGTTGATAGTAGCAAACGGTAGCATCATGACTGGAGCATTGTCAGATCTGACAAATAACAGAGTAGTGACTGCATTATGGTCTCCATAACCACGGAAGCAACTGCTACGACCACCAGGGAGGCTACCATTTGGAGGTTGAGATGGGATTGAAGACGTAAAATTCTAGCTCTGATGAGGGCAGCTCAGTTTATGATCCAGATCGGGATGATTCTCTAAGTTGCTTTGATGAATAGCTAAAGGATTGGAGACTGGGTATTATGATGTAGCAATTGCTGGCTGGCTGTAACAGCATTAGGGTGAGGTTGATAAACAACACATTGGAGAGAAATGCCATTTTTTACTTCTAAAACAGCAAGAAGCATTTGGGTGAGGTTGATAAACTACTTACTTGCACAAGAAGCTTTGAATTAACTTTGCAAAATGGCAACGTGTCAAGTGTCTGCAAATTTGCAGAGATAAAGGGATCATATTTCTCTGGTAAGGCTTCGGTCACTACTTCTATTAATCAATGAGATGGTTGCGATCACCAATTGACAATAAAGACTCAAAACCAACTTGATCTGTTTGAGATATTAATAAATACTTTTGTTTTCCATAAAAACAATTATGCACTTGTTCCCAAATCTGCTATGCATTGCATTTGAAGGAATGAAGACAAAAAGTTTAGAATCAGAGAAATTAGTGATGTGGGATTGACAAGGAATGTTGCAGGTTCTGGTAATGAACAACGTCTTCCACCCTCTGCTTCCATTGCAGAAATTAATCTAATCCAATTCTTTAGAGATTTGGTCCGAAATTGTGGTTGGAGCTAAGGACAGAACCCGACACTCCAGTGAAGAGAATAGATTACTTGGAGAAATCATGTGTAATGAGGAAAGAGCACGCTCATGATACCAATGCCGAGAAAATAAAGGTAAGTGAGAAAAAAATTTAAGAAAACAAAGAATAGAGAGTCTGAATGTCTATTGTAGTATTGCAGAATGGTGTATCTCTTTATTTATAGAGAACAGAAGCACAGCACTGCTAGATTTAGCAGTAACTGCAAATTTCTGTTAGAAACTAACTCAACTGTACTTAGATTATAGAAAATAAATTTGTTCAATCAGCTGCACTATTGCACACAGTAAACAAATAAGTACAGTAGAAACTCTTTAAACTAATAATGTCAGGACAGTAGAAATTTATTAATTTAGAGAGTTATTAATATAAATTAATAATTATTAGTTTAAAGAGTTTTAAAGTAATTATACTGTACATACCAAACAAAAAGGCAAATTAGTCTATGCCTCTTAGAATTACGTTGCAGCGAACCTTGGGACTCAATGTAAATTAGTAACTACTGTGTTCATATGCATTGGAAATCAATAATGACTTTTGAAGTACAGTAAATGTAAACAAGAGGAACAAATGTGTTCAATGTATTCTTAAGCAAGTTTGGCATATATAAATTACATGAATGTATTAGAGTATTCAAACCATATCTCATAAGATGGCTTCTCATCTAAAAGGTGTTGCAAAATCAACTATGTCAGATCAAATACGTAGGGAGTTGTGTGAGCACAAGAGAGGCTTGAGGGAAAATTTCAGTTGAAAGTTAGTCAAGGAACAATATCAAACACACTTAAGCGGTCAAATGACTATCTCTCTGCTGAAATAGAAAAGGGAAGAGCAGAGATCAAAAGACACAAATCAGCAAAATATCCTGACATGGAGAAGGTTGGTTATGAGTGGTTTCTCCAGCATCAAGAACGTGTGAATATCACAGGAGAATTAATTTTGCAGAAGACAAGAGATACAATGAAACTCGTGTACCCTTATGATGATTCAGATTTTAACTTCTCTATAGGATGGCTTGGGAAATTCAAGCACCGACATGGCATAAAGTCATTTCGTCGTTTTGGCGAGAGTGGGTCTGTTGATGTACAAGACATGGAGCAGAAATTGGTATATGATTCGGGAGAAAATTGATCAGTTCCCTATGAAAGATGTTTTCAATATGGATGAAACTGGGTTGTTTTATAGGCTACAAGTTGATCATTCACTGGCAACAAAACAACTTGAAGGAAGAAAACAAGATAAAGAAAGGCTGACGGTAGTTATTTGTTGCAATGAAGATGACTCTGAAAAAATCCCTCTATGGATTAATGGGGAATATGCAAAGCCTCGTTGCTTCAAGAATGTCAACATGAATAGTTTGGATTGTCAGTATCGAGCTAACAAAAAAGCATGGATGACTAGTGTGCTTTTTGATGAATATGTTCGTTCATTTGACCAAATGATACATGGTAGAAGAGTTCTACTTGTGGTGGATAATTGTCCAGCACATCCAAGAAATATTTAAGGGCTAAGAAACGTTCATTTGTTCTTCTTGCCACCCAACATGACATCAAAGATTCAACCTTGCGATGCTGGGATAATAAGAGCTTTCAAGATGCATTACCGTAGAAGGTTTTACCGCAAAATATTGGAAGGTTATGAGGTGGGACAATCTGATTCAGGGAAGATAAATGTCCTTGATGCTATCAATTTGACAATCGCAGCTTGGACGATAGATGTTCGAAAAGAAACAATAGCGAATTGCTTCCGACACTGTAAAATTCGATCAGCTAGTGATGTTGCAAGAAATTTGGATGAATCCACTTTTGATAAAGAAACTCAAGACCTCGAGACTATGATCAATCAATGTGGCTATCGTAATAAGATAGATATCGACAATCTAATGAACTATGCAGGTGAAAATGAAGCATGTTCGGAGGTTCAGAGTTTAGAAGATATTGTGGGTACTATCATTGAGAACAATGCAGAGGATGACGACGAAGATGATACGGTGTCTTTGGAGCCTGTTACGCGAAAGGAAGCACTTATGGCGTCGAACACTCTTCACAACTTTAAGATACAATACAAAAATACAACACCTGAGCTATTGGATGTAATAAGAAAAGTTAGAGATGAGCTCCAAATAGACTTGAACTTTAAAGAAAAACAAACAACTATTGAATCACATTTCAATAGAGTGTAATATATTTTTTTTAGTTTCTATGAATTATTAATTTATGATTTTTTTGGGACCGAAAATTATAAAGGGATCTCCCGAAAAATTATTATCTTATTATTTTATCGAGTTTTTCAATTTTTTACATTGGCCCAAATCGGGACCGGACAAATTTATTATTTTAGAAAGTTTATTAATTTACCGAGTATTAATTTAAAGAGTTTCTACTATAATGTGCAATATAAGCAAAATATAAGCTACTTTAACATATGGAAGCTTTGATATTGGATCACCCTTTTAGGAATTACTATAAAATAAATATCAATAATTGAAACTTTGAAGACCATGCAGAGCCCCCTAATCTTAAGCAAAAAACATTCATTTTTCTTGTTTCAAATTATAAGCAAAAAGCATTAACTTTATTTCATTTAATCATTTTATTCTAAAAAATTTATCTTTTCCAAGGTAAAATTATTTGCTTTCTCTCTCGTTTTTTCCATAGACAACAACCAATCAAAATTGCTTTTACATCTTTCTATAAAACAAATTCCAAAAAATACACTAAAATTTAAATTTTCTTAATAAGTGTGAAAATATAGGTTTTTTACTTACAAATTGGTACTGAGTAGTACTTTGTTTCTCTGATTCCAAGACCGATAGGCAGTTTTTAAAATTGCTCATATGCCAGATATTTGCAGCATAGCCTCTAGTATGTAGGTGATTGTTGGATCTGTCATGAGAGCTGGAGCAATTTCATCTGTCTTTAGCAGTGAACTCCTCCTCCCTTGGGATAAACTGGTTTTCTTTACCTGCTTATGGTATTCATCTAGTGTTTATTTCATTGAACATTCTCTAAGATTGAGTAGAGCTGCTAATTTCTCTGGTTGCATGTTTATGCGTTACAGTGTGTATATAAAGCTGTAAACTTCAGTTGAACTAAATGAAGTTAAAATTAAAAATTATATCAGGCATAGCTGAATTTTGAGCAAAACAAATAGAACAGTTTTGAAAAACTCCCAAATGTCCACATTGAGTCTGAGACCTTCATATTTAGACTAGGTCCATATCACAACTGCACTTGGTCCTGTTGATTTTATTTAGAACCCAAACAATGGTTTCTACACTTGGTCCTGTTGATTTTTTTAAGAATCCAAACTGTGGTTTCTACACTTGCATAGATCCTATTAGGTAGAATAACAGATACCAATTGAGTAATTTCTTAATTTGACCCACTTTTTCTGCTACAGATTTGAACCTGATATGCTTGCATTTTCTGGATGTGACTATGGTGGAGGAGAGAAGGAGCAGAAAGAACTGAGCACAATAAGGAGGAGATGGAAAACCCTACATGTAAGGCTTGCATGTTAAATTTTACTACTATTAAGAGATAGTGAAACCTATTCACTATTAGACAATATTTGTTTTTTAACACGGTTTATATAAACCTAATTGGGTTTTTCATTAAATGAATATCAGCAATGGCTTTTAACATTTTAACTGTCTTTATCCCTGCTTGTAGCAAGATGCCTAAATAGGCATTATTTGATAGAGCATATTTTATCTGACTATGTTTGCATGAGAAAACTGATTATTAACAAAGAGAGTATGAACATTGATATGCAGAAAAGCAATCCTGATAGGGCCAGGAGGCAGGGGAGATGCCCGTTAACCCCAGAAGAAGTTGGTCTAATGCTAAGAGCATTGGGATATGGTTCTGATGTTCATATTTATGTTGCATCTGGAGTAGTATATGGAGGGGATGAAACTTTGGCACCTCTCAAAGCATTATTTCCTAATTTCCATTCAAAAGAAACCATTACTACCAAAAAAGAATTAGAACCATTTTCTTCGTTTTCTTCTCGCATGGCTGCACTTGATTTTATTGTTTGTGATGAAAGCGATGTGTTTGTCACCAATAACAATGGTAACATGGCTAAAATATTAGCTGGACGAAGGTATGCGCTCTACTCCATTTGCATGTTTATTTTCACTTTCTATTGGTCACTAATAGCTACACTTGCTAATTTGCTTTCCGTGCACTTTCTTATAGGAGATACTTTGGGCACAAACCAACCATTCGTCCAAATGCTAAAAAACTCTACAGATTGTTCATGAACAGAAATAATTTGACTTGGGATGTTTTTGCTTCCAGTATCCGTACTTTCCAGAAAGGATTCATGGGTGAGCCAAAAGAGCTTAGACCTGGTAGAGGCGGGTTTCATGAAAATCCATCTACTTGCATATGTGAAGATTCTGTGGCGAAAGCGGCCAAAAATTCTGGACCTAGAAAGTTTTCAAACAAGAAAGCGAATGAAGTGGATGTTGATGATAATGATAACGGTGATGATGATGATAACGATAATGATGATGATGATGATGATCAAAATGATCTTACAGATAAGGATATGTTCAATGAAACAATGTCAGACTATGAAACTCTGAACTTTGAGGATCCAGAGTTGGAGGAAATTATATCAGACTAGTGAAGCTTCAATATTCAGCGGTGGTGGCATGGCATATATATCTTCCGACTCTTTTGTCATAACTTCTTAAGCAGCTGCTGCTTGTTTGAAAGTTGCCAATAAAGCCTAGATACCGGAAACAGAAAAAAACACACATATTTCTCAATACAGACTGAGCTGAACTTGAAGTGACTATAGTATGGAGACATCTTGAAAATTTAATCATAGGAACAATTTGTGCACTTTTAAGAGCATCATGGCCTAGGTTTAATGCTGAATTTTGTTGGTGTTCAGACTTATAATTGAATCTGGAAAGAGGGGTTGATCGAGTTGAGTAATGAGTGGAATGGGAGGACAGCCGTTCGACATTTAGCTGCATACATTATTGAGTTTGCTAGGAAGTAGGAAAATCTGTATATTTTTGTTGAGAAGTTGGGCATATACTTTCGTTCATATCCATTTTGACATATTGACGTTGTCAAATTACGTATACAAGCAACAGATTACCAACTTAAGTTTTTGTGCGTGAAGTACTGTTGATCTGGTAGGTATAGTTAGTCCTTTTGTTAAATCAGATAATTTCTTCTATGCATTCAGTTAAAATTGGTAAGTAAATTTTAATATCTCACAAATTGCATGCATAAGTGTGTGTCTATTGACCCTTTAACTATTCGATTAGAGCAGTTGATGAAAGCAGCTATAATTGGAGATATTATTCACTAGATTGTCTATAGTCGTGTCTGTGAGTCAGGTAATAGGAACACCAGATCTGAAAATGCAGCCAGTTTAGTGGTTAGATAGAATTATTAAAGTTTGTCAGTGCAAGCCCAACTTAAACTGAAAATCATTTTGGTTAGATATTTTGTGTACTAGAAAGAAGTATTTAAAGTAAATAGAAAAATAATGAGAATATCATTAAGATGGAAAGAATGAATAAAATGATTAATCTACAACATATATCTTTCACAAATGGAGTTCCTCATAATGACATGATTACTCTAAAAATCAAACAAAATAAACAATGGTGCTTGTAAGTCAGATTTTCACTGCGACGAGGGAAAATCATCTGGTGGATCATCTGTTTGGGACAATGGAGGTGAACCGAAGTCTAAACTAGGGAAGACACCAGGTGGTCTCTCCAGGGGCTCAATCGAAAGGAGTTGGCTTGAATCACCCACGACATCCGCCCATCCATAATGAGGTTCAGCCCTTGATAAGAGAGACAAATTCAAAATAAATATAAGCTTTAGAGTAAATTAATATGGCTAGAGTAAATTAATATGGCTAGAGTAAAATAAACTAGACTAAAACTTTCTTCCTAATATGAATTCAGTTTATTTACATTGAACATTTTCTATACGGTGAACTATAAACAAGTCTCTGAATTTTTTCTTCTACATTCAATGCCAACAGCGACTTGCTTTAAAACACTTAATCATTAATTTAGGGTTTAAAATAGTTTCAAATACCCACTTACGAACTGTGGGTTATCCTCCAAATAACCACTTATGGATATTTCATCTCTTAATGTCATAGAATATCATGGGATTCAAAACTAAATGTTAATCATAGTAGGACTCATAATAAAAAGATACTACGCCCTTTACTTTAGAGGCTATTAATTTTCCATGTATAAAACTAGAACTTAGAAGCACTTTGTGGTCACAGCTAAGTTAACACCCAAGTAGAGATAGATAAATAAAGAGATAAAATGCAGTAGAGAATAGGTAAATAGGTAAATAAAGAGATAAAATGCAGTAGAGAATATCCTTACTCATAATAAGTTTCTTCATCTACAACTATGTCCCAGCTCTCACCGGTTGTGCTGTTTCCATACTTATGGACTTTCCTGTTGCAAGCAAAAGCCGAGCAAATTAGCAGGTGTAACAGAGAAGTAACATTTTTAGGAAATCATTTTGCCGAAGTGGTAAAAGAAACTGAGACATTGTGTCACTTTTAAGCTCATCATGCACAAATAGATCATCTAGTTCTATTACGGAAGCTTTGATTCCATACCCATTTCCAAAGTGCTCTTCTCCCCAAGTTCTTGACCAACCTGGCATGAGGATAAAAATTACATTGAATTAAAAAAAAAAAACACATATCATTATGTTAAAGCGAGAACCATGTAACAGGCATGTGGTGGGGGAGATGGACACGGCAGCCACCTACATAGACTTATTGGAGAAAACCCAGATAGCCCCCGTTTTGTGGACCTTGGAACAAAGACAAGTCCAACTTTTCAGAGTCATGAGATTAATGATTAATATCTTAAGTTACAGGTAATGCATTCTATATTTTATAACACCTATGGGAAGGCTCAAGCTTTTAATAAAATGAAACCTCCAAGACTACATCATTGGGTGCACTCTGACAACAACTAATGGAACAAACAGACACCACTTTTGGTTACTGCACGGGAACAACCAAGTATGAAATGAATGTGACGACTTTATAAATAAAAATATAAAATTATAGTAAATATTACATACGTTCACTGCTTGGAGATACATGCCATGTTTCCCCATGACGCGAACCTATGCCTTTAAAGAACCGCTCCTCCCACTTGTCTCCCCATTTTGTTCCAAGTTCAGTTTCAGCCCATTTATCTGTCCTGAGGAGGTGTAAGCAAGGAAAAGAAAGCACGGAGAAGATAAAATTCAGGACTAGAACAAAATGAACCCTTTTTCTGGTAAAAATTATGATAAACTTCCAAATAACCTACTTGTATCCCATGAAATCAACAGGAGAATAAAACATTAAGAGACAAAAACAAGGAGAGAACAAGTGTGGCAAACTAAAAATAAAAAGAGAAAACAGAACGAAGGTCAAGGTGCAGGAAAGAAAAGTATGATTCAACCAACACCTGTAAGCATAGTACCACTGAAATAAACATAAATCAAATAAGATTGTCCGATAAAATTTCACAAAATCCACTGTTGAGCTGTAAGTTATTCATCCATATGAGACTTGCCTATAAGCTTATGGATAATCATTGCTACAAGAAATGAATCCACTAAGCTATAATACATACCATTTGAGAACAGATCCTCTTCCATCATAATGCTCTCCCCACTTTTCCCACCACGATTGTTCATTCAGTCTACCATACTTATGTGCCCCCTTTTCAGTCCAACCTTTAGCATCATATTTTTCCCACCTGAGTTAAACAGAGTCATAAGTTCTAAATGCATTTGATCCATTAATAATGTATAGAAAAGCCAGCTTTTGTTTTGTAAGATAGATCAACTTACCATTTCTCATACCACCCAGCATTTTCAGTTCCTGATTTTGCTTGTTTTTGTGCACTCCTCTCTATTTTTGCTATGTTACTGTAAATTGAAACAAGAAAGTTGTGTAAGTAATTCACGAGGTTTACTTATTCACACCAAACAGAGAAATAAAGCAATGACCTCCATTCATCTTGATGAAGATTTTCTTGCCATGTTTCCCACCAAGAATCTCCCTCAGAATTTCTGCCAGATTTCTCTACACCTGCGAGAACTTACAAAATTAATCACAAGCACTCATAGGCTAGGTTATTCAAGAGTTTAACAAATCTAAACAAAACAATCCTGCTACTCAGTATTTCTTCAATAAATTACACCATTAGATGATAATGATAGTTGATTCAGACAATGGTTTAATGAAGCTCAGATGATAATGATAGTTGATTCAGACAATGGTTTAATGAAGCTCAGATGATAAAGCATAAAACAGGGCAAAGTTAAAATAAACTTTGAAGGACATTCTAGTAGCATAATCTGCTTATCAACTGTCAGACAGATTAGGATAGTGTACGATATTTCAGCTAAGATATCCCATAACTTAGTGCGAAGATATTTTAAGTATCACACTTTATTCATTTATTTAGTGGCTATGTTACGGTCATATCATAGTAATTGATTCATTGCACTCGACATGAATTTTATAACTTTCTGTAGATATTAAAGAGTTGCAGATATCAGTAGGTCTTGTGAAGGAACACATTTTATATGTACACACATAATAATCATAGATCAATCAAATGTTAATTTATACATACATATACATGTTATAAAAAATCAGCTGTTGCAATAAATATACTGAATTATGTTAAATGTATAAGCAGCATGTTTGAGCAAGGGTCCAGAAGTAAGTTTGAACACCTCAAACTATCTTTTCGATAAAACAATCACGTGCTTCTGCCCAGAAGTAATTTTAAACTGTGGCTCCAGACAAACTAAGAATGCTTAAGAACTTTCAGTAATGTCTATATCAAATGTAAAGTAACATACCTAGCTCCTTATATCCAGTCCAGTCGCTCTTCTCCCACCACTGTCAATTAGATCAATAAAGGCTATTAAATGAATCCACCTGGGGTGTGATATTGATAGGGGTCCTGAATACTGTCAATCTATCACATTAAAAATAAATCCACCTAGGAAGGCATTTGATGGGGTTGTAAAAAACCAACCTAACATTGCTACAAATCATACCTAATGTAATTCAGGTACAAAAAATATGTAAAAGTAATGAGCTTAAAACATATGAAAATATAGCTGATATCATGTCAATGGAATTATTAGCTCCTTAGTTTGCTCAAAAACAAGTTGTGATAATGCATGCAACTCAGCATTGCAATAACTGGCCTGATGAATTATAGAACAAATTGAAAACAAATCAAAGGTTTCTAAAAAAATACTCCTTTTCATTATATCCAGAATCCAGATTATCCAATATCCACAAATAGTTCAGAGCTGAGAAAAAAAATAACAATTGAAAGTACATATATTACATGAAAAGCTAAAATTTTAGTCAAGAGCCACTCCAATAGTTGAAATTGAACTTCAAGAAGTGTTCCAATGGAGTGTTCAATATTTTCAAGGTGGTTATGTGCTTAGACACCATGATCCTCTCCTTATTACATGCATACTGGGCATATTAAGACATTATCTAAGCTACTGCAGTGTTTAATCTAATTGGTGAGAAAGTGATCTAGAGCTATTGGAGCAAAAACATAAAGTTCTCAGTTGTAAGTTTTTGTCATAACCGTTATTATAACTTTCCCACAATATTTCTTGACAAAAAGTACTGCAAATCATTTATCAACAGAAAGTCATCATCAAAATCTTTACAATCTACAATTTGGTAATTAATATCATTGAACTGTATTTGCTACAGAAGTTCACTTCTTCATTATAGACTTATAGTACAATGATACCTTTAAGCAAACAAGGATCATTAGCACAAGTCAACCAAGATTATATTTGATGATTAATCAAAGTAACATAGAAGAAATAAGATAGCTCTAATTAAAAAAGTTACTTTAACATACACTTTTTCTGTAGATTCATTCTCACATTTTATTATCAAAAAATTACATCCAAATATTAAAAGTTATAAATACCGTTTCTTTCCATTCTGATGAACTATCATGGGATTGACCACCCATTCTTGTCCATCTACATCTATATCCATTTTCACCCAGCTCTTCCCCATTTTCTCTGTACCAGGTACTCCCATCTTCGTTAGTGCCGGACTCCTTAACATTTTCATTTAACAGGCTGATACCCCAGTCCTTCTCATTTGCTATACCAGTGTCTGTTTAGGAACCAGTGAACACAGGCATACATAATAGTCAATATTCAAGGATTGACTAGTAGAAAACATGTAAGATAGCCTCCATCAACATTTGGAGCAAATAAAAGGACAACATCAATGATAAACTACCTCTTTTGGGCGGGGTGTCTCGTGACTGTGGACCAGAATTTCTCGGGGTGCAACGAGGAGAGAACTTTTCCTGCTTCAAAAGGGACCTGTATGGCATAAAAAGTATAAAGAAAGTTATTCTTCACAGTACATTGTAAAATGTATAAAGAAAAAACAATTAATATTCATAACATAACATTTTCCACAAAGGAGCATCCTTCATTTTCTGAAGTAAATTGTGAAGAATCGGCAATGCATATAGAGAAAGTTAAAAAATAAAAAAGAACAGTAAGCTTAGTCCTTCCATGCTCTGGAATGTGGTTCAGAACATTCCAGCACCATGACAAGCTATGAAGCATGGACACCGGAAACACAACATGACACTGACACATAGACACAGATAATAATTTGAAAAAAATGAATAAATTAAACTTAATCACAAATGTCAGTGTCGATTTTGAACACACCTTTTTCAGAAGTGCGGGAGAGATGACAGAGTTTATGTATCTTAATTCTTACATACTAAACCAATATGAATAAAACAGTTAATCTCTTATCAAGTGTGTACAAACTAGAGATCTAAGCTCACATGAAAACCGCACATTCATACAACTATTTCATTTTGACAGCTAAAACCGTTTTCATTTTTCATCAACATGGAAAATTCAGACAAGATGCAAAGTTCACCTAATTACAATAACAAACTCCAACACAAGAATCACAAAATTGATTTCAACAATATACATACGGTGGAGAAGCGAACGGCATTGCAGCTGGAGTAGCTCGAGTCCTAACTCTATGAATTTGAGGGTTTTTCTTCGGATCGAATCTCCGTTCCTCAATTTTATCACCTCCACTCGTTCTACGAATCGGAGCAACCGAATCAGAACAACAGCATCGGAAATCGAGATTACCGAGTCGAACTCGTTCGGCATCGGAAAACACCTTTCTCCGTTTTCTCCGGCATAACTCCGGGAAGTAATTGTTCGGTAACAGAGCAACATTGAGCCGCGTTGCTCTGAGCTTGAAATCGAACTGCGTCGTTGAGAAGCCTCTAGAACTCGCCGCCATTAATGCAGAATCAGTAACATTGACGAATAAAGCACAATGTAGTTGAATGTGTTAACTGCAAATCGTAACCGTTTTCGGTTAGAGTATAATAGTAGTGAGGGTAAAATTGGAATTTAAAGAGGGAACGTTTTGAAGCATTTGATTTTGATCTGAGAGTGTGAAAGTGGAAGTGGAAATGAGGAGGAAAGGGGAAAGAAGAGTAAGAGCGATGAGATCAGATCCGAGCATGGCTGCGAATCCCGAGATTTGTTCAGTGTATACATATACATGTGAGCAAATGGGTCCCGCTACGTTTTCTGTCCCATGCACTTATTCCACCTTCGGTGTGCCACGTGTCATTTTTTCACGCGCCATCGCTATCTTTGTTGGATGTAAAAGTGAGAAACACTACATCACTTTTGTTACTTTTTCATTCAATATTTTAATTTTAATTTTATTTTAGTCTTTAGAATTTTAAAATTGATGTTCTCTTTTCATATCTCACGATATATGGAATCGAATAGAGCGGAGAAGAATGAGACGAAATAAAATGATATCCTATTATTTAGATTACTTTAAATTGAATAGAGCAAAGTAAAATATAGTGGTATTAATTTTATTCTATCATTTATTATTATGTTTTTTTTTTCTTTTGATTTGAGTGGAATGAACAATTTATCTTATTTGTTTTAAAATTTGTTGAGTTGTATTAGATGTCGAAGTGTCGAAGTATGTTGTTTCACACATAATTTCGACTTAGGCCAAAATATGTATTTTGGATTTTTATGATTTTTAACTTTAGTTTAGGGAGCAAACTAACTCAATTATAAGTAGAGAGTAACCCCTATTTTTATAATCACTCATAGTTTGTATTCACAAAATTTTCAATTGTAAATGAATAAGATTTTCCACAGTTTGTGACAGAGAGTTACTCTGCAGAAATCACCATCTTTTTCTCAATTTTATCAAATCTTAATTTTCTTTCTTCCTCAATTTTCTTTTTTTCACTGTTATTGTCATGGTCGGCCCAAGGGTAAGGCGGGCTAGGCCAAAAAATTGAAATTAAGTATGGTTTTAGGTAAGTGAAAATAATAAATAGTTACTTGTTTAGCTTATTTGGTAAGCAAATGATATTTTATGTGGAAGGTCTTGTGTTCAAATCTTGTAGAGCTTCAAAACATAAAATTTTACTATCTTTTTTTATTAGAACTAATGACTTTTTAGATTTTTAATAATTTTATTTTTAATTTTGTAAATTTAATTTTTATTTGTGTTATTCTTGCTTATATAAAAGCTTTAAAAATACAAATAAACGATTTTAGTTTAACCAACATAGTATGTGAGAGTCGACAACATGACTCACCGTATAAAGAGAATTTCATATTTAATTTCTTATTTTGAAAGATAATTCAACCTTAATAAAAAATATAAATATTTAATTATCGAAATAAACATTTGTTTCATAATAGATACCAAAAAATTTAGTCATAAAAATCTTAAAACTTCTTCTGAAAATCAAATATTTAATTATAATGGATGGGAAAAAAACCTTGTGTTAATAGTCGTCTTTGGCCTCACATTGCGTTGGGTCGGCCCTGGTTATTGTGTATTGATAATAATCTTATTCATCAAGGTTGATAAAAATTCTCCATAGATTTTGGTGGATTTTCTAATATCTGGTATCAAGAGCTTCAGTTGAACGATTCAAGGGAAGAAAATCACGAGGACAATGAATCATCCAAACATGCATTTTCCAACAAGTCTTCCAATTCTGAAAGTTGATAACTATGAGAATTGGTGCAAGCAAATGAAGGTTGTGTTATGTTGTTAAGATCTTTGAAATCTTGTGAAAGAAGGGTTATAACCGCTTAAAGAAAACACAATAGAAGAAGAGGTTGCACACAAAGAATTGAAGAAGAAGAATTATAAAACTCTCTTTATAATTCATCAATGTCTGAGTATAAACAAATTCAAAAATGTTAGTGGTGTAGAATCTGCGAAAGAAGCTTGGGAAATTCTAGAATTTTTTTTTGGAGGTGCATAAAAGGTGAAAGAGGTGAGGTTATAAACTCACAAAAGAACATATGAGTTGCTTCAGATGGAAGAAAGTGAAAGCATAATTGATTTCTTCGCAAGAGTTATGAAATTGGTGAATCAAATCAAAGTGTATGGAGAAATGTTGACGTCAAGATAAGTTGTTACAAAGATCTTGAGGTCTTTGGCTCCAAAGTTTAACCACGTGGTGGTAGCCATAGAAGAGTCGAAAGATTTATCGAAATTGACAAAGGAAGATCTTCAAGGGACGCTAGAATCTCATGAACAAAGAATGGATGAAAGAGTTGTAGGCAAGCTGGAAAGTGATATAACTTTGCAGGCACAATCAAAAAAAGAAAAGAAATGCAAAGGAAAATGGTTCAACAATAGAGGTATAGAAAGCTACGAAAATTCGAGTGTTAGAAGAAACCAGCAGGAAGGAATTGTGTCGAATCAGAGAAGACCCTTATACCAAGGCAACCAAAGAGGTGGTGTTACAAGTAAAGGAAGAGGTGGCGGTCGAAAACCTGATAACATTCATTGTTTCAATTGTCAGAAGTATGGTCACTAATATAGTGATTTCCCATAAAAACAAAAGAATCGAGAAAGGGATGCAAAGTTTGCAAAACATGAAGAAGAAGAGATGATGTTGATGGTCACAACAAGAGATGAAGATATATTCAAGGACCAATTATACTTGGATTCAAGATGCTCATCACCCATGTTTGGAAGGAAAGATTGGGTTGTCAACATAAAACCCTCAATGAAGAACATGGTTGTTATTACCATGGCTTTTTGATTGGCTAAATTTTGCCAAAAACACGGCTTGCCATAACATGTTTGTTGTTATGTGTTTTTCATCCAGATATCAAATACAATATCATGACATCTTGGTCTGGTACAGCAAATGTTGTTGGTTGGTTTATTCTTGACAAATTATTAATTGATTCTGTGAGTTTAAGTTATTTTTATCTTACTAATTTATCACAGGTCAAGAATTATAAATATGAAACAAATAAAATCTCCAGTTGTACACAAGTTACTATAATTGGTTGATTGGGATTAATTAGGAAACCTTGTGTTTTTGTTCCAAGATTCGAGGAGACTTTTCTATAGAGATTGATGCAACTCTCAGTATGGACAACAGAAATATATGGGCGAAGATTCAAGGCTCAAGAGTTGCTGAAGAGTATTTAAAGAAACTACCTAGACCTAAGAGGATCAAGAACTTTGTAGAAAATAAGAGGAAGCCAAATTTTCTTAGTTTTGGGTTTGAGGGTTCTTCAAGGGAGTTCTGTTTTATTTGTATGTCCTCATGTATCTCTGATACATTTAAGTTGACTAATTGTTGACTATTCATCAAGCTATTGTTCTCCTCGAAGCCCGTAGGCAAGAGTTGGGTATTGTTATTGGTCAAAGCTTTTAAGCAAGACTAAGTATTTGTAACTTGGAAGTGTATTCTTCCTATTTTGGTTTTGTGACAGTTCTTGGGTCTGGAATTGGTTTTCTCTGTGACTGGGAGTTTTTATCACCGCAATGATTGGAAGTGAGTGGGTTCTCATATCTAGGAAGTGCCCAGGTAGAAATTGCACTGGGAAATGGATTAAATGATAAGTTTTAAACAGGGGAGTTTAGCTTAGAATTAATACTGATAATAATGGATTTCCTTCCTGGCTTGGTAGCCCACAGAGTAGGTGAGTTTACACCGAACTGGGTTAACATATCGTTGTTGTTGAACCCCAAAATTTACCCTCGCATTTTATTCAACATATGTTCATTGAGATCCTCAACTTGCTCAAGGATGCCCAAGAGTTGACCAGATAAACTCTCTCCTAAAGCAATGAACCTCCAACTAGGGTTTCCATTTTCATCAAGATGGGTGAGATCCAAAGGCCTCATATGCTCTCCATAGTTCTAATATGTTCTCAAGACCCTTCATGCCAAGTTTCAAGCCTTCCACAAGAAGTTTGCTCAGTCAGCTGCTCAAATGCTTGGAAATCAATTATATTAGGTCAATAGTCAACTGTGGCCCACATACAGTCAAACTTCAATATTTTTGGTCAAAATAAACATTTTGAAGTGATATCCATCATTTGATCAAGGTTTGACCATGATTCCCCAAGGAATGCTCCTAATTCATCAAAACTCAAAAGTTGCTAAATTAGGATTTCTCAAGAAAAGTCAACCAAACTTTGACCAAGCATAACTTCCTCATACTTTATCAGAAATTTCTCATCCAAGGCTCATTTTGAAGATAATATAATTCCTTACAACTCATCTTCAGCCCTCAAGTTCAATAAATGCACTCATCAAAAGATATGGATTTAGACATTATAGGCCATTCCAAAAAGTTAACAAAAACACCTTGTGGGTCAAAGCTCCTTACATGAACATGGAAGATCCAATTGAGATGAAACCAAATAGGTTACTTAGGGGACATCCTAAGCTTTCTAAAAAGTCCAATAACACCCTCTTAAGGTCAAAATTGATGGAGATATGCATTGTCAAATTTGGCCATTTTTGGAAATTTGCATAAAGTCAACAATGCCCAAAATTGCATTTTTTCCCACATGGGCCTATCTTTTCAAGATTGAATCTCAGTCCTAGCATAGTCCAGTACCTATGGGACCCTCCATGATTTATTTATTTTCTTATTTAATTTATTTTGATTTTTATTCATTTAAAAATCAAATAAAATCAAATAAATCCAAGTAAATCATTTAATTTGTTTTAGAAAAGATTTTTGTATTGAATAGAGATCTTATATGCTGTCAATAGCCAAGAGAAACGTGAAAGATTGAAAAGAGAAGAAATCTCTATGTTTGGAAGGATTGGATGCAAGAATTGAAATCCATTATTCTTTGGATTCTTGCCAAAATTATTGACCTAATTGGATTCAATACATATACTGAAGTTTGTTGAACCCTAAGGCGGAGACTGGTCATGCGCAACCTGCCTCAAAAGCAAGAAAGTAAACTCAAATTTTT